AGCCAACAAGAGCTTCCCTTATTACAACAGTCCTCAGCTCAGGGTGGGAGCAGAGAAGAGCTTCTGAGGGGACACTGGGAGGTAGAGTGGTCAGGGCCAGCGCCTCTCCTGACTCTGACCACTGGGCTCTCCGTCCTCCTGGGAACTTTCCCTCTGATTCCCCACTGCTTCCACCGTGTTGGCCCCAGGCAGAATTCTGATGCCAACGGGGGCACAACCCTCATGACTGCCTCCCCTTCCTTAGCACATCTGAGACCAATCAGCTTTTCAAAAAGAACTTAATGAAATATAGTCAAAGAACAGGAAGGAAACCATAACAGAAAAATTCCAGACATAGCATGTGATCCAGTTGACAAAGTCCAAGTTTAGTGATCTACTGGAGCTAATCACTTCTCTGTCCCCAGAGTTCACACATACAGTTTCCTCAACCCAAAGGGCTATAGCCAATAACCTGATACCCCACAAATACACCCTGAATACTCCACTTCTTTCACCATCACTGCTCCCCCTAATCTAAGCCACCTTCATCTCTCACCTGGATGCTACTTGAGCCTCCCAACAGGTCACCCTGCCCCTTCTTGCACAGCGAGGATTTTTTCTGAACATAAAACTCATCATGTCATTCCAGAAGCTTTTACAACTCTCCAAACGATTTTTTTTTTGTATGCCTAAAGTAAAATTCAAATTCCCTGCTGTGCTCTATACGATCTGGCTTCTGCCATGTTCTCCAGCCTCATTTCCTACCTGTGCCGACATACTTGTTCCTCCACCTGGAATGTTCTTTCCCTGGATCTTATCGTAAATGGTTCCTTCTCATCCTGCAGTTCATAACAGAAATGTTACCTCCTTACGAGGCTTTCTCTGGCTGCTGTTTCTAAAATAGTCTAACTCTGTTAAATCAATCACATTACCCTGTTTGATTATTATCATAAATATAACAGAAATGTTACCTCCTTACGAGGCTTTCTCTGACTGCTGTTTCTAAAATAGTCTAACTCTGTTAATCACATTACCCTGTTTGATTATTATCATAACTTTAACATCTAAAATGATCGAGTTCCTACTTGTTTATTTTTTGTGCTCTGTTTCCCCCTGCTAGTGTGTAAACTCTCTGAGAGCAGACACCTTGTCAGTCTCACTCCCTGCTACGTCCCTGGCACTCAGTAGTCATACAGTTAATATCGAGTGAATACATGAGTCCCCGCCCAGTCCACCAGAGGCAGCTTAGCATCATGGTGGAAAGTCCGCAGCCCTGGAGGTAGTGCTTACCTACTGTGTCGTCTTACAGTCCCCGCCCAGTCCACCAGAGGCAGCTTAGCATCGTGGAAAGTACGCAGCCCTGGAGGTAGTGCTTACCTGCTGTGTCGTCTTAGGCAACTTAACCTCTCAGAGGCTCTTTTCTCATTTTGAAAGTGTGAATAATAGTATCTACTCCTAGTGTTGAGAAGATAAAGTGAAATAATACATTTCTATATTACATAAAGTCCCTACCAAGTAGCCACTCAATGCATGGCAGTTATGGCTAACCCCTAGCCTGTCTCCATCTTATTTCCTACTGTATGTCACTGATCCTCTCCATCCCTTGGTTCCTTTGAGGCCAGAATCAAGAGAGATTCTAACTCTTCAGGCCTCACGGTTCCTCTCACTCTGCCCTATTTTCATATCTGAGGGCCTCAGTTTAGAAGGCCCCTCTTGGAGCTCAGCCCAGTACTGTGGACTCTGTGATGCTCTGTAGCACTGATTAATCCTTATGATCATTTCTGGCCATCTTGGGAAGCAGTGACTCCAGAGGGACTAGGGCCTGGTCCAGGGTTTTTCCATGGGGCAAAAGGCCACCTCTGGGAGAAATGCTGTGGGCACTGATGTGGGCAAGGAGGCTGGAAACAAACTTGCCACCTTCAAAGTATGAACAAAGCTGCCTCCATTCCTCTAAGAGAGAAATCATTTATCCTTCCCCTCCTTGTTGTCATTCATTCACTCAAACTTTAGCAGGCACTAACTTGGAGCCAGGCCCTATGCTGATGATTCAGAGATGAATAGAATGAGGCTTGGTCCTTGTTCTTGGGAATTTGTGGTGGAATAGATGAGACGGAGGTCAATAGTTCGTTACAACACAGTGCAATGACCTCGATGGCAGAGGAGATGTGAGGTGTGGGAAGCCTAGGATGGACTGACAAACTGCCCGGGGAGCTGGGAAAACTGCCAAAAGCGGTGGTAGCTTCTCTCTCTCCAACTCCTCATCTCTGTGTGTGTTTCTCTGCTCCTTTCTCTTTCATTTGCTGTACTTGGAAAAGTGTAAGAACTTCAGGCTCCTCTGTCTCTGGTGCCAACTCCAGAGATTTTGTGCAGGGTCACCCAAACCTCCCAGAGATTTAAGGAGTAGATCACGAAACCCTGTCTTCTCCACATCAGGTCTCTAGTTCCCATCCCTGTCACTTGCCCTCATGTGTCACAGTACTCTCCTAACCGTGAAGCTTAGGCCCAGAGATCAAAGAACAAAGCCTTGGAATTAAAATAACACAGTCAAGATCAATGTCAAAATAACTCAATGTTTTTACTTGTATGTCTCAAACACCATGAAGGGGATACAAAATCTGCACAAACCCATGCATACTGTGCCCCACTCAGTGGCGGGGGAGGGTCATGGATGCGTGAGTCACGCAAGTGAACACGGGAAGAAGAGAGACTGGACACATGAGTTTATTGTTTTTATCCCATCACAGGCTTAAAATGAGCGCAGCGTCCCACAGTTGGGATGGGGATTTTGGGGGAGGACAGGTTCAGGTGGGAGGCAATGGCTCTTTGGAACCAGGACTGACCCCTGTGTCCTCTTCAGAGTGCCCATGTGAACTGTTACCGCCTCCACTGCCCACCTGTCCACTGTCCCCAGCCTGTGACCGAGCCACAGCAGTGCTGTCCCCGGTGTGTGGGTAAGTAACCTTGTTCTTCCCCCTGTGACAACTGACTCTTCTCCCCTTGTGACAACTGACTCTTCTCCCACTCCTGATGCAGGCCTCTGGCAGAAGGAGGCCCCTGGAATGAGAAGGGCAGTCTCTAGCCATTGGAGGTGTCGATGCAAAGGTTCTCAGGGGAAAAAACATCCTGAATCCCCAAGGAGGGCTGAAGTAGCAGCAAATGTCTCATTTTTAAGTAGCCATGCTTGGCAGAAGGAGAGAGAAAATGTGGAGAGTAGCTGAAGGAATTGGGGCATGCTTGGCCTATTGATGGCACACTCAGGCTCCAGTCTCCCTCTGGCTGGCTGTAGCCATAGGGAATGGACATGCCTGTGTAAGTGGAAATGAGAGAGCTGGGACTGGGAGGGCTTGCAGGGAGACCCCAGGATTTCCATCCTGGGGCTAGGAATGGTTGAAGGAGCTGGAGTACATGTACTCTGAGATTCCTCCCGGTGCAGAGTTTCAGGGGCTCTGTGTGTCTTGATGCTAAATGTCTAAGATCCAATGATTTTAAGACACTAAGAGCCTCTAAGACTAGGATTCTTGGAAGTAGAGGTGAGAGAGAGGGGTGGAGAGGTGGTTTGAGAAGAAATTGGCATAACCAAGTGTCCAATAAGAGGCAGCCAGCAGGGAGGACAACTTAGAAGAGTTGGAGGGGTGGAGGTGGAAGGATCTTGAGAGAAGAATCATTGTTTAGAAGCATCAAGAAGGCAATGAAGGGAAGCTCCAGATTATAGCCTCAGCCTCTAGGCTTTGGAATTGGGGTTCTCCTGGTGAGCTAGGGACCTGTGCATGCAGAGTGGATATAGAGGGGCTTATTTTCCAAGTGGGACCCCAGTAGCATCTGATCATGGCTCTGCCTTGGGTCACAGAGATTCCTGGATCAGGATTCCTTCAAGGAGCAGGAGTTCTGAACTTCGCCCTGCCCAGTGCTGGATGGGGTGTGGGCATCATGCCTTCTCCCTGTCTGAGGCTGACCTCAGGAGTCCTGGCGGCTCCTTGCTGACTGTGCCTTGGCCCAGGCCCCTTCTTCCTCACATGCTCCTCTCTCCTTCTGTCTTTTCTGGCCCTGCCCCTTCACCTGCCTGGCTCTACATTTTCTTCATAACTCAGCTCAGCCATCAGCCCCTCCAGGAAGCCTTCCCAGAGCCCACTCCCATAAAATAGCTGAGTAAGCAGCTCCTCCTCCGTGCCTCAGTCCTCACCATGTGACAGTGTCACAGCTTATGACATGTCTCTCTACCAATTAGATTTTGATTTTTTTTCAGTTGGAGTTGACATTCCATATTACTTTATATTAGTCTCAGGTGTACAGCATAGTGGTTTGACATTTATATAATTTATGAAGCGATTCCTGCGATTAGTCCGATACCCACCTGGCACTATAGATAGTTATTACAATATTATTGACTATATTCCCTATGCTGTACTTACATCCCCATGACTATTTTATAACTACCAATTTGTACTTCTTAATCCATTCACTGTTTTCACCCAGCCCCTCAACCCCCATCCCATCTGGCAATCACCATTTTATTCTCTGTATCTAAGAGTCTGTTTCTGTTTTGTTTGTTAGTTTATTTTGTTCTTTAGATTCCACATATAAGTGATATCATGTGGTATTTATCTTTGTCTGACTTATTTCACTTAGGATAATACCCTCTAGGTCCATTCATGTCATTGCATAGATCGTGAATTTCTTGATGGGAAGGACTGATCTTGTTTGGCACTCCATTCCCAATGCCTAGCATGGTGCCAGTACAGAGAAGGTGTTTAGTAAAGGTATCTTGAAAGAATGAGTGGGTTCTCTCCAGACCGGAGGCTTAGAGACTTACCCTTCTACCCAGCAGGATGAGGACTGGATAATTGGCAGGAAATGAGGAGGAGGGTTCTGGCAGCCAGTGAATGACAGGAGCTTACCCTAAGCACAGGGACAGCCTAGGTCATCTCAGCTGATTCCACTAGGATGTCACTCCAAGAGGGACTCTGTTCTGTTTGCTACTGTGTCCCCAGCACCTGGAGCAGTGCCTGGCACTAGGAGGTGCTCCAGGGATGCTCCCTGAATACTGAGTAAACTAACGCAGGTCCCCACTGAGTGGGGCTCAGTGGAGCTGAAGCTTCTGGTCTTGCCTTCTTGCTCTGGTCAGGACCAGCTCAGACACTGAGGGGCTGAAAGGGCATTGTGAGGAGCCATGGGAGGGAGTGACATAGTTGGTTGTAGGTGTCAGGGAGACATCTTCTTGGTTAGCTGATATGGGGACTGGCTGGGAATGCTGAAGCCAAAGCCTGGTTTAAATGCTACGACGGGGTGAAATGCAAAATCTTTAGAAAGTGTCACATGGTGAGGCTTAATTAATTCTTAATTAAAGCTCTTAGATCCACATGAAACCTTACTTTCTTCTTCCTCTTGCCCCTCTCCACCTGCAGAACCTCATACCCCCTCTGGGCTCCGGGCCCCCCCAAAGTCCTGCCAGCACAACGGGACCATGTACCAACATGGAGAGATTTTCAGTGCCCATGAGTTGTTCCCTTCCCGCCTGCCCAACCAGTGTGTCCTCTGCAGCTGTGCCGTAAGACCTCTCCCTTCCCTTTAGCCCAGGCCAGTGGTCTGAGCCTGCAAAACATGGTGGTGTGTACGGCAGGGTGGGGGTGGGGAATTGTTCTCCCTATTCAAAGCAAAGTGAGAGCAAAGTGGGGTTTGGAACATTCTGCCCTTCTCAGGGCTTCTGCACTGTCTGAGCTGCCTGTTACAACATCAGTCACCTCACAATGACATTTGCCCATTTCTGTTTTCCCGGTAGACTCTGCACTCCTGGAGGGGAGGGGACATACCCAATTATTTTCTGTATCCACTGCTGGTCCCAGCCCAGGGCCTGGCACACAGAGGATGTCTGTAATGATTGTTGAATGAATGACTGAATGAGTGAATGAATGAATGAATGAATGAGCGAATGATCAGTTATCCATCCTAGAGCACAGAGACAGGGCCAGACTGTAGCAAATGAAATTTAATTTGAAGTTGCATAAACTTCCCCTTGCTGGGGTCAGAGTTGGGCCTAGGGACAGGCAGGGCTGACTCTGTAGTACTATCAAGGCACAAGAGACCGAAGTCAAACAAAGCCTGATTTGGAAACTCTTCACCCTCCTCCTCAGGGCGGTCCTAGGTGTGGCCTTTTTACAGGTTTATAGGTGGCTTTTAGCATGTTATTCTTATCCTTGGGTTTAGCTCCTTATCTGTACATTGGCAGGAGTTTCTTCTGCTGTCCCAGTTTCCTTACTACCTGATCACTAAACTTCTCTGGGCCTCAGTTCCTCTGCGTGTAGCGAGTCTGACCAGGTGATCTCCAATGTCCTCTCTGTCTAAAATAATCATCAGATTTAGCAGTCATGTGAGGGGAGAAGTCCTAGACTAGGTGTCAGATACCACGTTTGAGCTCCAGCTCTGCCATGGCTCCCTCTGTGGCCTTGAGCGAGTCACTTCTCTTAGGCCTGTCTCTCCAACTGGTCAGTGAGGGCATCCCATCAGTTTGACGCTCTGAACCTTAAAATCTCAGTGCTGCAGAGCAAACAACTTACAGATGACAAGTCAACCTAGAGAGCGATTATTTTTGCAGGGTCTAAGCTTCTTGCAGTGGTCTAGTCCATTATACCTACTAGGTGCATGGAAATGCCTTGTGTTTGTATACAACATCCCAGTGACCCTAGGAGAAGGATATCAGATGAGGAAACTGAAGCGCAGAGCAGGTAAGCAACTTGCCTGCGGTCACATAGCTGGTTAAATGGGAGAGCCAGAATTCAGATCCAGGGTCACATAACTCCAAACCCCATGTTCCTTTCCCTGCTTCGTGCTGCTTTCCATAAAGGCAAAAGGGCCTGGATTAGAAGGAGGCTGAGGGGAGAGACAGAAATGATGGGGGGGTGGGGGTGGTGAGAGCATTCTTGTGGTTCCTTGTTCTTTCCCCCTGAGTACTTGGGTCTCCCTTCCTTCTAATCCCTGGTTACATGGGTCTAGCTTGACTCCTGGCCTCATCTGAAGGATCAGAATCCTTATTTTTGACTCATTGGAAAAGGAATAGGGAAAGGACTGGAGGTAATATCACTTCCACCGAGGTACAGTGTGCCTTACAGTTTAAAAAGGGTTTTCACAGTCATTCCGTCACTTGATCTTCACAGCCCAGGTGGGAGTGCCCCCATTTCCCAGAGGAGGAAACTGAGACCCAGACAAGAGAAGTGACTCACCAAAGGTCATCTGGCCCCTTGATTCCCAGAAGGCCCTTTCCCCTGCAGGCTTGCCTCTCTAGGCTGGGTCCTAAAGTTGGGGACCTAGGGTTTTCAGTAAGAGCAAGATGAGCCCAAGGTGTTCCCCACCTATTCCCCTTTCCTATGCTGGGCCACCTGTTCCAGGCCAAGGGAGGACATTGATTTCAGTAGGAAAAGCCTAAAGACTAGGCTCTAGTCCATTCCACCTGGCTGTGTCTCTGACTTCGGGCAGCCCAGGTTCCTCTGCAGGCTCTCCCCATCTGTCAGATGGGAAGATCCCACTTCATCTGGTGGCTGGGAGAGCCTGTGAAAATGCGTCAGAAGCTGAAGGATGACTGTTACCTTAGGGCCTGGAGTGGGAATGGGGAGGGTACAGAGGATTCCTCCTCTGAGCTGGCTGGGCCTCGCCCAGGATGCTCCGCTGCTCCTTCCCTCCCCCACCTCAGGGGAGACCTCAGGAATATATGCCTCAAGGGCAGGGGACTCTCCTAGCCCCAAGGCTAGGCCTCATCAGCGCTCCTTTCTCAGCTCCTGTTTGTTGTCTGTTAGGAGGGCCAGATCTACTGTGGCCTCTTGACCTGCCCAGAACCAGGCTGCCCTGCACCCCTCCCGCTGCCCGCTGCCTGCTGCCAGGCCTGCAAAGGTGAGTCTATCCCTGGATCTGGCAGTGCTCACTCACCCCACCCCAGGGGCCCAGCCATGGACTCTCAGAGCTGGGGGAACCTCGGGGGACACCAAGCATGTAGCAGACCACTCTTTTGAGGTAGCTTAGCCTGCTCTTTCCTCCAGAAAACTAAGCCCGTGGCAAAGGCTGACGTGCATTTTTATTGCAATTCCAGGGAGCAGGAAGGAGGGTAAGGGGGAGTTAAGCAGGGAAGGAAGGGGAAGCAACACAAGAATGTATTGGGGAACTGCCTCTGCTTGCTATCAAGTGTGACCTATTGCTCTAAGTCATCTGCTTCCAGAAAAGTCTGGGGGTAATAGAGGAAGGATAAGAATTTGTCCACGAGCCAGCAACTTCCATTGGTCAAAGGTTCACCCAAGGGTGGGAATGCCCTCATGGTCCCCCCTTGTATGTGCACACATGGGTGCTAGGTCTTCCTGGGAGCAGAAGGAAGGAATGGGATGGAATAAGAAGTGGGGGGCAGGAGACATGACAGGAGGTGTGGGCATGAGGGCAGGTGCTTGCAGGCTGAGCCTGAGGGAAGTCGGTTAGAGCCCTTGTGAAGAGGGCACTGCTGCAGTGTCTGTAACATGTAGTTGAGGTCCCCATGATTAGATGAAGCTGAGGGGATCAGAAGAGGCACAGGAGAGGGTTCTGTACAGGCAGGGACCACATCTCCTCCTGTCTTCCTCATAGCAGAGCTGGGCATAGGCCTGGGCTCAGAGCATGCGTGTTAAACAGAATCCAGGTAGAATCTCTGTATAGGACAGAGATAGGCCAACACATCGGCTAGTGAAAGACAAACAGCCTAAGCAGAAGTGCGCAGATGGTCGAACTGTTCCCTACTGGCTGGGGTAGTCCAGGAAAGCTTCCTGGAGGAGGCAGGACTAGGGGAGGGGAGTGCACCCCAGTAGAATGCTTCCCTGGATGTTGGTGTTGTGGAAAGGCACGGGACCAGGAGCCAGGTGACTCCAGTTTAGTCCTGGTTCTTCCAGCTATTTCCTGCAGATTCCTTCTCCTCTCTGGGCCTCAGCTATGCCAAAATACACAGAGAGGTTGGCCTCAGTGATTCCTAATCAACAGTATAATTCCAGTGTTCTTGGTCTTTGAACCAAGAATGCTTGGAGGGAGCCAAACTGTATGTGAGGCAGGGGCTTGGGAGAGAGAGGTCTCCTCCAGGCATTACAAAGTCCCAGGGCTCCAACAGGCCTTGTGTCCTGGTGCCTCATGGGGTGGAAGATGGAGGTGTCCTAGGGTGTCCCAGCTGGAGGGGCAGAGGGGCTGGGCGGTGGGGGGCAGGTGGTACCCAGGAGCATAATATGTAGACCAAGGCCTTGTGATTTCAAGAGTGACTGCCAGGGGGACTACAACTAAGCAAGCTGCAGGGATGGGATTCTGGGCCATCCATGATGCGTGCTTAACTAGATGCTGTGCCCCAGCCGAGCCATTTAGTCCTCATGGTGACCAGGAAGTTAGTGTGGAAACTGAGGCAGCAACCCAAGGGTGAAGAGAGGCTATGATGAGGAGTGGGGATAAGTCCCCACTGGAGGAAAGGAACCTACTGGAGCATGGGGGCTGCAGAAGTGGTACTAGGCCTTGGAGGGGCAGAGCCTAGAGGTGGAGGCCTGCAGGGCTCCAGCCAGCAAGGCTGAGGAGGCAGAGGCTGACCCAACTTCCCTTTGGGTTTTCAGATGGGTCAAGTGAGAAATCAGCTGAAGAGGACGCCACACAGCCACACCATGCGGTGGTGAGTGCACAGCTTTACTGATGAGCTGGTTAGAGGAGGTGAGGTGGGCTGGTATCCAGGGCCTAACTCTCCATGACTGTAGAGCAGACAATACTAGTTATTGTCTTCATTTCTCATTGGTCACCTGCGTCAGCTCCTTTACCCCACCATGTCCAGCTTCTCTCTCTAGCCTCCCATTATGGCTCCCATCGTGACCAATGGGTCAGGAGGGGCCTGGGAAAAAGCACCACACAGGTAGGAGCAGGCCCCAAACTTACTGATTTCCCTCCTAGGAAACTCTTTGACACTGTTATATCCAGAGCCTGTGTCTGTGTTTATTCAGGCCACCTCTGGGCAGCATGTTCCCCTGAGAGTGGCCTCTGACTAGGGTCAGCCTTCCCCACCCAGCTCCTGAGGTACCAGCTCTTAGTCTGGGGACTACCTCTCTGTTCCCCCTACCCCCTGTCTTGGCTCCTCTCATCTTGATCTAGAGCTAAGATGGGCCAAACTGCCCAGCCCTCTGTGGTTGGAGTGGAAAGAGGTGGGAGAATGGGATCACACAGTGAAACAAGTCCCTATCCTCCATCTGTGCTTTGTCTACAAAGTGAACAACTCCACCTGGGTCACCTGGTCCCTGGGGGACTGGAGGCTAGGCTTCCCTTCCCAGAGAGTCCCCAGGAGTGTGAACCAATATACTCTCCCTTCTCCTCCGCCAACTCATCCTCCTTTCCCAGCCAGGCCGATCAGCTGTGGGGGCCTCTGTGCCCCCGGACCTGAGTCAGGGCATCTCTTCTCCTTCTATTCTTCTCCCTAGGAGGCAATATGTGAAGTAAAGCCCACCCAGGCTTAGTTCCAGGCCTTGAGCAGCTACTTACTGGATGATGTGGGCAAGTCACCATTTGGGGGTTGGGCTCTTCGATTCCTTCTTGCCTCTATTCCACTTGACAAGCATTCCTAGGAGCTTCTTTTGTGCCTGGACCTATGCTGGGGCCCAAGACACAGTTTCTACTCTGGGAGTTCTTGTGGACTCAGTCCAGCCATCCGAGGACTGACTGAAACTCTACGGGGCAGCAAGGGGCTGTAGAAGAAGGAATGTGACTGACTTGGGGGTCAGCAAAGGGGATGAGAAGCTCTTGCCCCAAGCCAATCACTTGCTCCTCTCCCATAACCTGAAGTTGCCAGTTCCCAAACTATGAACCATGAAGCTCCTGCCCCATTACACTGCCCTCACCACACACCCTTTGCTGGCACTGTCAGCCCTTCCAAGACCTGATCTGGAGGGGCAGGGTCTTGAGATCTTGGATCCAGGGGCTCAGGAAAGGAGACCTGAGCTCTGGAGACCCTCTGTCTCTGGTTGGGGCCTTCTCCTACTTTTCCTGCCCCAGGGCATTTGGAGGGTCTGATGGGATCTTCAGAGGCCTCTCCCCTTCTCCCATCACCTAAATCTTCTCAAAGAAGAATTTCCTGACTCTCATCCTCACTAAATTCTCACCTTCTATTTCTTAAATATTAAGTTCTCCAGGTCCTTGATCACTTATGTCTTCCAGATCAAGACCTCAGCGCCCTCTGCCCACCCCAGCCCCAAGGACCCGGCTCTGACAGGCCTGAGAGGGACTTAGTGGAGGCTGCATCTCCAAACCACTATCCTCTGAGAGTTTTCAAAAATCCCTTGTCTGAAAATGTCTTAGACCTCATCCAGATCATCTTACTGTCCCTAGCCTGTGCCCTCTCTTCACTGGGGAGTCATGCTGGTGTCTACCCTCAGGCTGCTCACTGCAGCCTGTCTCGCTGCTCCTCCACTGGGAGAGGCCCATCAGTGATCTCCATCCTTCCTGCCATTTGCAGAGACAGTCCCGGGACCCATGTTCAGGGGACGGTGGGAGAAAGAGTGGCCTGAGCACCCCAGCCCCCACCGGGCTCAGCTCCCCTCTGGGCTTCATTCCTCGCCACTTCCGACCGAAGGGGGCAGGCAGCACGACAGTCAAGATTGTCCTGAAGGAGAAACATAAGAAAGGTGGGGACCGGAACCTCTCCAACCAACTCCCAAGGTGGGAAAGGGGGGCCCCGACTACTCCCACCTCCCGTACCTGCACCCCCCTGACTCAGTAGTTCTCCAGTCTCAACTTGGCCGTGAGCTTATAGACTTACAGAACATCAGAACTAAGGTACCCTTAAAGAGCATTGTGTCTAAACCTTCACTGGACAGATGAGAACACTGAGGTTCAGAGTATTCAGTTAGAGACAGAACCAGTCCTGGAATCAGGACTGAGGGTCAGTATAACAATATTTTTTTGAGCATTTGCCATGTCTTTTCCAGGAATCGAGGGGCACAGAACAGATAGATGAAGAATGGTCCCTGTCCTCGAGGGGCCCCAGGCATGTAAATAAATTACGATCATATAAGGAAATGCTGAGGGAAAGTTTTTAACAAAGGAAGGAGGGAGCAGAGCTGGGCTGTGGGAGGACAGTCTGGATGAAGTGGGGAAGGAGGCCACTTGGGCAGCCATGGCAGCACAGTGGGGGAAAGAAGCTTCACTGTAGAGCACCTCGACTGGTGGAGTGGGGGTGGCTGCAGAGGCATCTGTCCCAGCACCTCTTGTGCAGATGGGACACTGAGGCTGAGAAAGGGGGAGGGAACTGCCAGAGCTCACACAGCTAGGTAGTGAAGGACTTGATGTCAGTTCTACTGTCAGGCCATTCCCCTCCTTGCCCCACCAGAGGGGCTCTGAGGACAGGAGAGGGACTCTTCATCTTCAGAAAGTCTTTACTTGGCACATCTCAGTCTTGAGAGCTGAGACGGGGGATGTCAGGGATGTGGGACCGGTTTTATACCCTGGCCACCACTTTGTAGGCAGTGTGGCTGGGCCAGACTGGTGGAACAGGGCCTCCCCAAGACCCCACCCTCACCTATTACTGGACTCTGGCAGCAGTCCAAGGCACTGACCCTCCTCCCTTCCTGCCCTCCTCGGCCCAGCCTGTGTGCATGGCGGAAAGACGTACTCCCATGGGGAGGTGTGGCACCCAGCCTTCCGCTCCTTTGGACCCCTGCCCTGCATCCTGTGCACCTGTCAGGACGGCCGCCAAGACTGCCAGCGGGTGATCTGCCCCACTGAGTACCCCTGCCATCACCCCGAGAAAGTGACTGGGAAGTGCTGCAAGATTTGCCCAGGTACAAAGAGATGCTGGGGGCTGGGAAGACGCTAGCTATAGTGAGCCCTGAGTCTCTCTTGTCAGGGCACAGGCACTTGGAACATTTCTGACATGCATGGGGCAGGGACTCAGAGCCATGGGATGCAAGATTTTTAGGTGCACAGGATGTTAGAAGCACAGCAGTGGGAAATTCCAGACTTGTAACTTATTACTTATGGAGCCATCTAATGTGGTAGAGACAGATCCCGAGGCTCTCATACATACATAGACTCAAATAATGTTCTGGATTCTATGAGGTCATAACATATTAGGATATCAGAACTTTTAAGAGAAATAGCCAGTGTTTATCGAGCACTTACCATGGGCTAGGTAGGTATTTTGTATGCATGAATTCATGTAACCCTCACTGCAATGGATATGGCAGGTATCTATCTCCATTTACAGAGAGAGAATATAAGTCTAGAAGCGGGTATAGTGTAGAGACTTATCCCAGGTCACACAAATATAAGCAACGGAGCTGGGGTTTGAACTCTGCTCTTGCTCCAAAGACCATACTCTTGACCTCTGTTGTCTTCCTTCAAGCCTCTCCTTTCAACGAAAATGGGAAAACTGAGACCCAGAGAAGAGAAGAGACTTTCCTAAGTCGCACAGCAAAGTCGTAGTGAGTGGAGCTGGAACTAGAACTCAGGCTTCCAGTCTTGCCAGCTGAGTTCTTTCAACAATGTCATGTGACCTTAGAATTAGTAAGTGTGCTGAAAGTCAGAGTATCTGAGTGAGAAGCATAGCCTGTGAGGGTCAACAGTAGCTGTTGTGAGGAGCAAGCATGTTCTCAACAGCCTGGAAGGTGGGGTAGGAGGCGCAAGGTGAGGTCTTGCCCTGACCACACCTGGTTTGAGGGCTGGGTTGGCAAAGCTGAAAGGAGAGGAACAGAAAAGAAAAAGAGGAAGGAAACATGCACTGAGAACCTACTAGTGCCAGATGATTCCACGTGTTTCATTTAATCCTCACAGCTCAGTTATTTCACAAATGAGATGACTGAGTGGCTACATTTACCCTGAGTCTCCACCTACCTCACCATTTAACATCAGGAAATTTGAATTTGCAGTAGCTTGCTTACTGACTTATTTACTTACCTAACTTGCTATTCTGAGCTTAGACAAGTTACTTTACCTTTCTGAGTCTCAGATACAGAGTTGATGAAAATGCTTTATGAATTGTAAGTCAAAATCCAAACATAAAGAATAACTATTATTTATCAGAGTGATATTATTTATCAGATATGCTATTGGGACAGGGTCAGGGAGGGAGCATGATGGGATGGTGCTTGGAACGCATGAGGAGTGGGGGTTCAACTTGACTCTCTATGAGACTGGCTGAGGCTCACTCCTGGGCTTCTTCACATACACACCTGGTCTTGGGTTCTGTCACCAGACGCTAGTCTATTTCCCCTTAAAAATAGTGAGACTGTAACAGCTCTTAGCTGGACATATCTAAGGACTTCATAACTAGTAAGAGTCTAGAAGGGGATGTATGTATAGAGACTTACTCCTTCAGTCCTTAAAAAATAGTCAGAGAATGTTGATACATGGAAAGTTCTGGAGAGTGTCCATGGAATTCCAACATGTCAGAGCTTTAGGACTGGATCCAGTTTGGCACTAAACAACATCCCCACCATCCCCACCATCTCCATTGTCACCCCAGCAAGCCTCCCCGCATCGTCTTGACCATCACCACTACCTCTTCTGTCGTCACAACCATCATTATCATTACTGCCATGATCACCTCTGCCCCTCTCAAACTTTTTATTCTATGTGTATTCATTAAGAGCTTGGTGCGAGCGACTCAAAAGACGTGGAGGACATAGTTCCTGCCCTTCACCTTGTGGGTCTCTTTTAAAAAGAAAACATACCCGAGCGAAATATTTACAAGGCAATGCAGGGCAGTGTGGGATTAAGGGCATGAGTGGGAGGCATAAACAGGAAGGGTTTTAAAAGCTATGAGTGGAAGAAAACAGGGTGAGCTAAGCCGTTCCAGGTGGGCTGCGTGGAGAAGGTGGAAGGTGAGCTGGGTCCTGAAGGGTGAGAAGTTTTCTGATATGCTAATCAATGGGAAGTGAATAGGGGAGATGCCCCGTCTCTCTTCCCCAGAGACCTCCTTCTCTTCCCGGGGGCACCAGAAGTTTCCCAAGGATCATAGAGACCCTGAGAGGGATGTCAGACCAGTGGCCCCTCTTTTTGAGCCTATCAGGGGGTGAGGAGACAGAGCATTCACAAAAGCTCCTTGTCTCTCTTAGAGGACAAGGCAGACCCTGGCCACAGTGAGATCAGCGCCACCAGGTGTCCGAAGGCACCGGGCCGGGTCCTCATCCACACATCAGTATCCCCAAGCCCAGACAACCTGCGTCGCTTTGCCCTAGAGCGTGAGGCCTCTGAGCAGGTGGACATCTACCTCTGGAAGCTGGTAAAAGGTGAGCATTGGCCTTCTCCCAGCTGGGCATCCTTTTGATCTGTCCCCTTTCCTATGCTCCAGGACTCCTGGGAGCCTTGGGGCATTTGGTCGATCAAGTGCCTCTGGCCCAGGAAGACCTGCCGCTGGCTGGCTTACCAGGTTTAAGAGTCCCTAATTCCAAGATAAAGGGAGACAGTGAATCTGTCTGATTTCTCTGAAAGTTCTGATAAGTTCACCCACTCTGAGATGCCAGGGCCTTGAAGTGCTCCCTCTCCTGGGGGGAAGGGGTTGTTGCACCTTGCAAGGAGCCAGGGCAGAGTAATGCCTACCCTGATGAAATAGAGATGTCAGTTGGTGAATTTCAGCATTCTGTGAGGCGAGGTCTTTTCAGGCAAGAGGACCCTCAAAGCATCCTCAGAGTAGGAGGGCCTTAAGGCTAGTCTCAGTCAGCCTTTTCTGTATGGTAGATTCTATCCCTCCAAGGTAAGTTGACATCAGAATGTATTTCTCATTCTGTGAGAAACCCTATTCAACAGGCTGCTCATATCACCAAATGAAAATCAAGAGGAGTTTTCATTGATACGGGAATTGCTGACAGTTCTGTTTTCTGGCTCTTCTCGAGACACATAGATCCCCTGAGTAGAATGAAACAAACTTTTTAACCCTTTAAGTGTGAATTAGCTCTAAGGTCGCTTTTCTCTACTGATGGGCTCGGCTGGGGGTGGGGACGGGAGAAGGGACAATAAGAAGGGGTGAGTAAGGGGATAATAAGAATGATAACAATGATAATAACAACCAATGTGTAAAGCACTTTAGAGTTTCCAAAGTGCTTTCATGTTCATTATCTCATTTGATCCTCAGCGATCCTGAGAGTTAGGTATTATTATCCCCATTTTACAGATGAGGAAACTGAGGCTCAGAGAGGTGAAGTACCTGGCTCAAGGCCACACAGCCAGTAAGTGGAGGAGCTAGA